ATGTAGTATTCACAATTTTATTTTTTGACAAAAGTATCATGGTGTATTTTTGCGATTAAAGGAGGCATGGTCCATTTTTCACATTTTGCGTGTATTGTCTATGGGACATGACTATTTCTCAAAATGCATTCTCATTTTCCGTCTTTCGCGAGCAAAATCTCCGTTGTTTTAGCTTCGTTATCGCTGAGCTTCGGATATGTATTAGCTGAGACAATGAGCTATCAAAGTGTGCCTTTTATTTTTCGATTAGATGCCGGGATCATGCTCATATTTCACTTGCAAAGTAGGATTTCTGAATTCCATTTCCCGTTTACGTGTAATCGCTATGGGAGATGTTTTTGGTATATCGGTAACGCACTTGACTTCCAACCTCGAGATCCCTGGTTCGAGTCCGGGTGTCTCCAACACTTTTTTTTTTCACTTTTTTTTCCTTTTGACCTTCACTGTACCATCTCCTTTGATTATTTAAACACGTAGATTCGCAAATAATGTCATAAATAACCCTTTTTACTTTATTATTACCCTATTTTCACTTAATTCCTTACTTTTTGCGTGTAATCCCTATGGAAATGACTTTTTCTAAAATCTGGAGTCTACATTCCTTGTCTTTTGCGAGCAATATCGCCGTTATTTCCGGATTGGATTTTGATGATTTTTGAGTATGTTTGTAGCTGAGACTATATGCTATCTAAATCAACCCTCATTTTTTCAATAAGAAGTCATGATCGCGCTCATGATCATGATCATGATCATCATGATCATCATTATCATAATGATGATAATCATTTATCAATTACATTTTCATTTCTTTGAATAAGATAAAATCGTCAAAAAGGTGTTCTTCATGATGTAATTAGAGTCAAATGTGTAACTGGTTACTGCACAGTTCAACAGGTCAAATATTGTTTCAATCTATCTTCCCTAGATCCATGATGATCAAGGAGACACAATTTAATCTTGACATATGATAGATCATAATGTGAGAAGCTATGAATGGGAGAAGCATTTTACAAAATAATATCGTGTAATGCATTATTCTTTATGTAAACCATTATCATACGTATCACCTAATTCGTCTAAGTGACGAATTAAAGTCTAGTTAGGTGATACGTAACGAAGTCTACGTATCACCTATTGATTTCGTCAAGATTGTTATTTA